TTGAATCCGTGAAGCCCATGAAAGATGCATTTACTTAGCCAAGGACATATCAAATCCAGGTGAGTTTACCAAAACTATCTGATCTGGACCATTTCAAATAACGTAATATCCTTTGGAGAGATGAGCCCCTGGTCTTATTGGGTGAAGAAGATTATATACCGCTTGTTCCTGAATAATTTTCAAGGCATCAACTAACGAAAAGGAAGGTGCACACAAAAAATACTCGCTGTTATTCAAAGATCACAACCTCACGTGTACGTACGATCATGCATACCTAATTTATTTATCATACAACAAAACATATAGCTGAATACCTCTAATTCCCAAACAGTCAGCTGGTGCAGAGTTGCATTTTCGTATCCTAACTTAAAATATTTCTAAAATTTCAAACAAAAGTTTAAAAATATTATTTTCATAATTTTACTATATATACAAAATTAATATAACGCAAAACAAAATACAAAGAAAATTCACTTTAATATTTTAACGGTCATATCACCGAGTATGAAATCGAAAACGTTCTTATCACGTACAGTTATGTGAAAAATAATAAGGACAGTGGACTGCGGTGAATGAAGTTTATGTGGATCCAAAAATGGAAGGGAATTAAAAGCAGTGAACCAAGCTCAGTTATTGTAAACAAATTGGAAAAAGGTTTTTTGTAGAGTTTTACCCAGATATGGCAAATTATTTTATTTTATTTTAATTTTTCTTATAATCTGAGATATTATCATGTGAAAAAAAATAAGGCCCTTCTAGTTTAACTAAAAAAACAACAATATTAAATAAGAAAAAGGAAATAGTTTTCATTCAATTGTGTTTAATTACATTTCTAAATTGCTTAATATTTTGTTGAAAATCCTTTGTTGTTTAAAACTGATCGACACCGCTTCGGCATGGAATCAACTAGATTGAGGCAGACGGAAACCGGGATTGCGTTCCAGAAATGCTGAATAAGTTGCCTAAGCTCGTTGCAGTTATTTGGGCACTTTCCTCCTAAATTTTCTATTGGATTTAGATCCGGGGACTGCGAAGGCCACTCCATTACATCAATTTTATTGACCCTAAAACACTCTTTTGTACACTTAGCTGTGTGTTTAGGCTCATTATCTTGCTGAAATACCCACCTAAGGGGCATATTATCTTCAGCGTACTGTAGCATACATTCTTGAAGAATTTCTACATAATCGGTTGCCTTCATAATACTCTGTATGCGATGGAGCGGCCCCACACCGT